ATGATGACGAAAATATGTTATTATTATCATTATTATTGTTGTTATTATTATTACTACTACTACTACTATTACTACTACTACTATTATTATTATTATTATTATTATTATCATGATGATGATGAGAATATGTTATTATTATTATTATTATTATTATTATTATTATTATTATTATTATTATTATTATTTTTATTATAAACGAAAGCATTATTTCAACGTTATGATTGTGTATGCCAACCCGCAGTGAAGGTGAAAACACGAAATCAGCTTCACTTCTATTTTTACGATTTAGCACTCCCAGAGTGTTAGCAGCCTGTTCAGTAACTACCTGTCTATCGTGTGTCATCAGGTGTTTCAGGAATGTGGCGCCGGTAGTAGGCTAGACTACCGTGTATATCTGTCACGGCGCGGTGGAATCAGGCGCTCGTCAATTTTTGAGTATAATAGTACTATGGAGTTGTAGATTTAATCTTAAATCTTGTTGGTTTTTTGCCCTTCTTTTGACGACATTTTTTTTCATCTATCTTGAATAGAAGTCAAGATATTTGCGATTAAAGAAGGTGGGGGGTCACCTGATGTCAAAGATAAAACTAGTGAGAAAATGACTGGGAAAGTTCGAGGACTCTAACGCTGTAGCGCTCCTGAGAAATGCAAATTTACTTTAGTTTGGTTGTCTTTGATCAAACATTTCTCAGTAAAAATCCAAGCAGGAATGTGCTTTCAAAGGGGCATGAAAGATGTTGAGTCCCCCCCCCCCAAAAAAAAAAGCAAAATATAAAAAAAAAATGGACAAAAATTGCCAAACGGGAGGAAAAATATCGGGTTCTTCGATTTAAATATTTTGACGAGAGCTTGATTTCATCGCAATGCCTCACATGTTATTATGATCACAGTGTGGCCTTTTGGATTCTGTTACATACCAGAGGATAATAGTATGCAGTGTCTCTCGATCCAGGTCGCCTTGTCTCTAGCTCCATCTATATATAGATCTATAACTGTGGACGGCTAGATTGCTACCACTCACATGATCTACAGTGTAGCTCCGTGACTCGGATTGTTTTTTAAAGGTTTTTTTTTCGTTTCCATGAAAGATATATTCATCTTAAAAACCATAGACACACAAAAAACCCACCAACCCCACCCCCTCTCCAACAAACAAGCAAACAATACACGAATCAACACGGGGATAAATAAAACCTCTATTTGTTGTAAAACTGAGGAGATCTCTGATTCTTGCGAATCACGTAGTTATTAAAAAGTATATTTATTTTTGGCACGATGGTACAACGTTATACAAAACTGGGTTCTTGGTATTGTTCTGGCACTACAGTTGTTTTGTTATAATCATCGAGGTCACTAGGAAAAAGAGTTGAATTTTCCCCCTTATTCTTTCAGTTAATTATATTTTGCTTTTTAAACATAAAAGTGTTTTAAAGGGTATAATTTAATAGTTGGTTCGAATCCCACCAGGGGCCCGACGTTGTGTCCTTGGGAAAGGCACTTTACACGAATTTTCCTCACTTCACCCAGGTGGGAATGGGTACCCGGCTATAGACAGCGAAAGATCTTG